TATATGGCTCAAAAGAGGAAAATAGGGTTCTTCCAGAATTAGAATTTTGCCTGGTAGGTGGAGTGAAGGACAAATGGACGAAGTAGTTTACGATATTGTTAAGAGAGCCATTGGAAAGATTGGCTGGTGGGCTCTAATCTGGAGTACTGAGCAGAGGCTGAGAGGCAGGAGGGGTTGCCATGGGGAGAGCAGTCGGTGGACTCAAGTGCCCGAGAAGGTAGAGAGATAGGTGTCCTGGGCACAGGTCAATGGACAAGTTAGCTGGAGTGTAGGGGATGGCCATCTGGAAGCAGAGGGCCTTATTTCGGAGGAAAGGCACTGTTGGTTATTAGTGTGGTCTGCAGTGCTGCTGAGCTGAGAGCGGCAGAGCGCAGTGAAGAGGTCACTGGAGCTGAGCTGCTCAAGAATCGAAGAGGCATTCCACGTGTGCACTGGTGTCACAACCAGGGTGGACTAGGTAGATAGGAAGACTGGACGTTAAGGCTTGGTTAGGATGTCGGTAGATGATGACCAAGTGAGAGGTCACAGCAGTGAAGATTAGAAGGCGTGGTGACCTGATCCTGGGACTCAGCTGGAGTCTTGCTGCCTCTTCCGTCTTTCAGAGTGCTGCCACCGGGTTCTCCTTTCTCCCACGGGCTTCTAGATCATTGACAGAAACCAGAGGATCTGTAAATAAAAGGAACAATGTGGGCTAGAACAATTCTACTCTAGTTTTTTTCATTTCATCTTCCCTAGAATAAAAGTGGAGGGGTAAAAAAAAAAGTGTAAGGGGTAGGCATTTTTATGTGTTAATTTAAAATTAAATTCTGCATAATCGAGCTTATGAATAATAATATTCCTTCTACCTGGAAGAAAATATGACCTGTAATATACATGTAGTGCCCTCAGAGTGGGAAGAATGGAGGCTGTGTTGACTAGTCTCAGAATTTAGAACAGTTGTTTTTGTTGCTTTTTTAGGCTGTTGGAGAGAAAGAAGTGAGAGATGCATTTCCGGAAGCCACTATCATAAAGCCATCAGACATCTTTGGAAGAGAGGATAGATTCCTGAACCATTTTGCAAGTATGTATTCCTTCTTTATGATAGAAAAGAAGGCCATTGCTTAACCAAACTTAAGCTGAGCATAAACTAGCAATGTTCCCTGGTTTGACAAACTAAGGTTTTATTTTTTCTCCCTGAGTTTCCTTTTTCTCCCCAAGGTTATATTTTCATCATCCCTGTGGTCCTTCTCACGATCTTTGTTTTTCAGTACTCAAAGAAGCAAGTTAGATTGAAGGAAAGAGCGTGGACTTGGGAGTCAGAGTTTCAGTCTCAGCCTGTCTCTGTGACCTTGGCGTGATGTTAGAATATCACACTTCATGGTTTCATCGCCCTAAAACCCCTGTCCTCCCTGTTAGTTCACCTTTATCCCCTACCTTCCACCTCCCACACTTGGTGACCGCCGATTTATTTATTTATTTATTTGTTAAGTTTCTTTCTTTTGGGAGCTGGCAGCTGCTGTAGCGGTTGCATCGCTGGATGCCCACATGGCCGACCGTGTTCAAGTTCTGGACCTGGTGGCTTGAAAATCATGCTGGGCACGTGTGCATGCATACCCAAGATCCTGGGAGGAGAATGGAGGAGATGGGATTGTGAGGTGGCCACCCCCCCCGAGGGGATGATTTATCACTTTCCCTCTCACTGTCTGTCTCTCTCCCCTCAGAGTGTGCACACACCCGGAGGCAAAAACCTCTTAAAAAAAAAAAAGTTTATTTTGTGAGAGAAAGAGAGTCAGAGTCTTGCCGTGCCACGATCCTCCTGCCCTCGACCCTGTCAGCCAGCCAGGATCACAGGCATGCACAAATGTGCCTGGCATGTTCGAGTTACTCGGGATCTAAAGCCGGGTCTCCCAGGGAGCTCCAGGATTGCACAGTGGCACCTTGCTGGCTGTGCCACCAGGACTGGGGGCAAACATTGATCTTCTTACTGTCTCTGTAGTTTTGCCTTTTCTAAAATATCATATAACTAGAATCAAATAGCATGTACCTCTTCAGACTGACTTCTTTAACTTAACAGTACCTATTGAGTCGTTGGAAAAGTTGTGACGCATTTCTGCATAGAAAAATATGTGATGACTTCTGATGACCCACTAGTATGCATGTAAGGTTCTTCTGTCTTTTCATGGCTTCGTAATTTGTTTCTTTGTATAGTCATTGTATGACTATGCCAGTTTGTTTTACCAATTTGATGTTTTTAGCATTTATTTTCTCTATTGCTTGTGTCCCCTTATAATTCTGTATTAATTCTTGCTTTAAAAAAATTGTAGCAAAATATGCACAATGTGAAATTTACCATCCTCTATGGACTAGCAGAAGTATGTCTTTCTCAAATTCATATTTCCAAGCCTTAACTCCCAACGTGACCTTATTTGGAGGTAGGGCTCTTGGAAGGTAGTAAAGGTTAAGTGAGATTTTAAGGTGGGGGTCCCAATTTGATAGAATTGGTGAATGTATAAGAAGAGGAAAGGGGAGAGCTCTCTCTCTCTCCCTGTGTACATGCTCCAAGGAATGCTATGTCAGGACACAGAAATCACCTGTCCAGAGGCTAAGAAAAAGACTCTCACCATGAATTAAATTGGCCAAGACTTTGGCCTTGGACTTCCCACTCTCCAGAGCTATAAAAAATTAATTTCTGTTTATACCACCCAGTCTTTGTTATTTTGTTATGGTAGCCGGAGCAGACTAAGACAGATTTTGGAACTGAGAAGCAGGGTGCTGCTGTAACAAATACCTAAAACTGTAGAAACATCTTTGGGTAATGGGTAGAGGCTAGAATTATTTGGAGGTGCATGTCAAAAATGTGAATGTCGTGCCAGCCGATGATGTAGTGGTTGAGGTAGCTGGATCCCACAGAGCCAACTGCATGGTTTGATTCCTGGCTTGAAAAACATACTGGGAGTGTGTGCATGTGTGTCCCCAATCCCCAAAGGATTTGGAAAGATGGAGAAGGAATTGTGGTGTGATCATCCCCATCAAGGGTTTGTCCTCACTTTTCTCTGTCTCTCTCCAGTGAACGCACATATCCTCTGTCAAATTATTTTCAAAAAAAAGGAATTTGGATGTTAATGGGTCCACTGGTGGTGTGGAGGTTGGGGCAGCTAGATTCTACATGGCTATCTGTGCAGTTCGAGTCCCAGGACTGGCAGTTTGAAACACACACACCAGGTATGTGTGTGCGGGTGCCCAGAATCCTGAGAGGAGAATGGAGGAGAAGGGTCTGTGACATGGCCATCCTCCCTAGGGTTTGCTTTTTCACTTTCCCTAGCTCTCTTTCCCAGTGCCCCACAACAGATTAGAAAGAAAAATAAATGTTAAAGATGATTTTTGTAAGGTCTTGGGTAGAAATGCAGAACACATTCTTGGACACTGGAGGAAAGGTGACACATGTTAAAAAATGGCAAAGAACTTGGCTGGATTATGTTCTTGTGATTTGTAGAAAGTAGAACTTGTAGGGACCAGCAGATGGTGTAATGCTTACATCACTGGACTCGTACATGGCCAGCCATGGTTTGAGTCCCAGACTTGGTGGGTTGAAATCACGCCTGGCACGTGTGCATGCATGCCCAAGATCCCAAGAGGAGAATGGAGGAGAAGGGATTGCGGTGTGGCCATCCTTCCAGGGGGTGATTTCTCATTCTCTGTCTCTGTCTTTCTCTCTTTCTCTCTCCAGCAAGCGTACATGCCCTATGGCAAAAATCTCTTTAAAGAAAGAAGTAGAACTTGTGGAAATTAAAATTAGTTATTTAGCTCAGGAAATTTCTAAGCAAAGTTTTGAAGGACAATTTTGGTTCTTCCTGATTGCATATAGTAAGATGTGAAAGGAGATTAAGTAAACAAGGAATTATTAATAAAATAAAAATAAAAAGGAACCAGAACCTGATGATTTGGAAAATTCACAGCTTATCCATATTGCAGAAAATGAGAAGTGTTTTGAAGAAAGCACGGTGTGGCTGAACAACCATTTGGTAATTTGCTAGATCCTAGATATGACTCATGAGCTAATCAGCTATCTCAACAGAAGCCAAGGAAAGAAATGGGTTTATATTGGCAGAGACACTACTACTTTGAACTAAAGGGGACAGAAAAAGTGAGACTGAAGGAACACTGTCAGACTTCTTAGATCCTACAAGACCAGACAGTAGAGTTATTCAGCTGTGAACAAGAGTTGGTCTTTGAGAAGAGAGAAGAATGACTGCAAAGGTGATTCAGAGATGCTCAGGGCTTCCTTCTTGGTTTTAAAGGATGGGGCCACTGCCTGGGTTTCAGCTGATTAGATGGTCCCTTCCCATAGGCTTTAGAGTGGGGCTATCCAGAGCCTTAGCGGTGAGACTGCCTGGGGCTCTAGGGGCAGGGCTCTTCGGCGCCTTCAGGGTGTGACTTGCCCGGGAAAGCTGCTGGGGGTAGGAATGCTGCCCCAGGGGTTCCTTATGGTAAGACCACTACCCCATGGGTCCAACTGCTGTCTCATTTGGATTTAGGAAGGCAGGACATGTAGACAAAGGAGATTATTCCTGAGCTTAAAGATCTCATAGAATTGGCTTTGCTAAATGTGGGGCTTGCTTGGACTAGTTAGCCTTTTTTTTTTTTTTTCTTATGTCTCTCTTTAGAAATGAGAATGTCTATTCTGTGTCTATCCCACCATTGTAGCTGGGGAGGAATCTTGCCTCAGGATGATTCACACCTTGAATCTCATCCATCTCTGATTTAGATGGTTTTGGATGGGACTAGATTTAGAGTTGATGCTGGAACGAGTTAAGACTTTTGATGCTTAAGACTAAGACACCATATTAATCATTTTTAAGTGTATAGTTCAGTAGTGTTAAGTAAATTCACATGTTGCACAACCAATCTTGAGACATTTTTTTTTTTTAGAGGTTTTTGCTATAGGGTGTGTGCACTCGCCAGACAGACAGACAGACAGAGAGACAGAAAGTGAGAAATCACCCCCCAGGGGGGATGGCCATGCTGCAATCCCTTCTCCTCCATTCTCCTCTCGGGATCTTGGGCACGCACGCACACGTGCCAGGCGTGAGTTTTAAGCCACTGGGTCCAGGACGCGAACCGCGGTCGACTACGTGGGAGTCCAGTGACATAGCCATTATGCTAACTGCTGGTCCCTCTCCAGACATTTTTCATCTTGTGAAGCTGAAATTCTATACCTGTTAGACAAGTCCCCATTTCCTCCAAAATGAATTTGACCAGTCTAGGTACCTCATATAAGTGGAATCATGTAGTATTTGTCTATTTTTGACTGCTTTGTTTCACTTAGCATCATGTCCTCAAGGTTCATCCGTGGTGTGCCAGGTGATACGACTTCTGACTTTCTTCCTTTTAAACGCTGAATAATATTCTATCTTTTTTTATATACATTTCTTTAATTCATCAGTCAAATATCTCTTTGAGATCCTGAATTAAGGTCTTTTGGTTATATACTAAGAAATGGAATTCTGGATCAAATAGTAATTGCATTTTTACTTTCATAGTGTCTGTACCATTTTACATTCCCACCAACAATGTGTAGGTTTCACACTTCTCTATTTCCTTCTCTACATTTGTTTTATGTTTTTTTTTTTTTTTCTTTTCATAGTAGCTATCCTTATGGTGTGGTTTGACTTATATAATGATTACTTTTTTATGTGCTTGTTGGCTATTTGTGTGTCTTGTTTGGAGAACTATCCTTTGCCTTCCTTTTTTTTTTTTAAGAATTATTTTATTTAACTTTATTTATTAATTTATTTTAATTTGACCAGAGAGGAACAGAGTGAGAGAAGAGAGAGAGAGAGGGAGAGTGAGAAAGTAAGCTGCCAGGCCCAGGACTCAAACCGTGGTTGGCCCTCTGGGAGTCCAGCATCCTTAACCATCATGCCACCTGCTGTTCTCCCCTTTGTCCATCTTTAAACTGGGGTGTTTATTTTGTTGTTGAGTTGCAGGAGTTCTTTGCATATTCTGGATATCAAATCTCTGAAATATATGATTTGCAAATATTTCTCATTTTGAGGGTTGCCTCTTTACTCTGTTCATTGT